TAAAATATCTGTCTGTATATATATATATATATAAGAAGATGAAATTAAAAACTATCAATACTATCCAACAAAAACTTAATTGCATTAGCATTTATTGGTATCTGAATATATTTCTGAAAAGCATAAAAAGAAGCTATATTAGGCACTCAAAAATTTATTAAGGAATAAAATCCTGCATTTCGTGATTATATAAATTCTACAAGATGTGCTATACAACATTGTAGCAGGTGTAAAACGTATATAAAAAGAAAAATATAAAGCAACTATGAAACATATCTTTAATTTAAACGATACGACAATAGATTTTATATATATATTCGCGCAACAAATCGCTATATATATATAATAATAATAATAATAATAATAATAAATGTAAAAGGCTGTGTATAAACATTGTTGTGTAAATGTAGGTAAATGTTACTACACATTTTGTATATCGGAGAGAAACAAATCACATTGTTAGAAATAGCAATCGCATATATGAAATAAATGTATGCTCTTTTTGTGTTTTTAAAAAGTAATTCTTTGTTATGACTTACATTTGCCAGCATAGCCTGTGAAGTAGCTGAAACGCGTATCATATCTTTATGAGGAAATATGTATATGGTGTGAAAAATGAAGCAAATAAGAAAGGGAAACTATATAACACGTTCATATCAGAAACGAATAATCTGGAACAATCAGTAAAATGCAGTCGCGGCAGGATCACATAAGATAAACATAATCTATCGCTCGGCTGTCATATACAATCATTTTGACTTGCATAAAAATAATCACTTATATGTATTTTGGCTATCTTTTAAATTACATTTTAGATCGTCCCTAAACACTCAGATCTTTACAGACGCATACACATTGCTACTGCATCAAATGCAATGATATATATGTATAAGAGTACAATAATACAACAGCTATTTAGTTATCGATACCCACATCTTGATACACGTTTTTATTCCTTTACACTTTTGTAATAGACACTTTTTGATAACATTACATTCTCTCTGTTTCGCTCTTTCTGATCTCACAGGTGAATTTAAAAGCGTGTGATAGCATTATTATTTTTTCTATCATATGGTAAAGACTTAAAAGATTTAGATTGCATTTTTTTGTCTTAACCCTTCTTGGTATGACATTCAAGTGCATGTGATCTGTGCATCATCACACTATCTGCTAGTCAACAATATTATCATCAGCTATATTATCTTGGAAGGGTTAAGATCTTGAAAGAGTGAGAGACCAATTTTGAAAAGAGTGAACATCTAAAAATTCAACCCTTTGAATATGCAGGTAGATAAATAAATTATTCAGGAAATAAAATATAAAGAATAATACAATTAAAACTCGAAAAAATATTTCTCTTTATTATAATTAATCCTGCATATCCAAAAAGGGATATCTTTGGAACTATCAGGAATACATATAATATAATTATTATTGCACTTCACATAATATTTTACATAAACTATGCATTTCAAATTATGTATAAGAATACCTTATCGTATAATTATTTTCTTCAAGAGAATTATGCAAACCAGATATATCAAAACCTTAAAGGTAAGCTACAAACACAAATATCCATAAAAATGGTGATGGTTTTTAAACAAACGGACATCAAAACATCTTTTACTCAATGGTACAATTCACATGCCATATACCTAGAAAATGTATAATTCTCTCGAATTAATTATTAAGCTACTAAAATACTGGATAAATTTCTAGTAGTGTTCATATTTATCTGATACAATGTACAACAAAAAAATGTTTAAGTAAATGATACTTGTGTTTGATCTTTTTCATGGATATGAAATTATATCATAAGTACATATATAATACTTTTATTGCGCTTCAAACCAATAATTATTTCCATAGTCAATCCAGAATTATTCTGATTCCGTTATCCTATGTGACACATTTGTCAAAATTATTAAACTCAATTGGAAATATTTTTCAAGTGTTAATTCATACATTCTTATGATTACCAATTTGAAAATAATGTTTTCAATAATACAAGATTTTAAATATTGAACTTTGCATTTACTTTGCATAAGTAAATAAATATAAATAAATATAAATAAATAATGTATTTAATTAAATATATTTCTGAGATTGCATACCAAATTAATATATTTATTGGAACAATGAGTCATTAAATATACAAACTCAACAAAGATCAACTTTCTTTGGAACGTGTTTGCTTATTAAAAAATGTATAGTTTTTTCCCCCTCTTTATGATAATGAGTTGTTGACATATATATTAAAGCATTTAATGGGCGAAAGTCTTGCAGTGAGAGATTCATAAATACAAAAATCTAATTTATAGCAATAATCAAGATTGCAGATAATTTATGCATGTTATATATATAATTTGTTCATATGAACTTATGTTAATAGAAAAACTTTGGTTTACTATTTCATCATATTTTAGTGCAAATACATTTGCTAATACTATTATGTAAGGAATATTCTATTATATTTACGCAACCAATATGAGTAAATAACTTAAGTAACTTAGATATTGTCTCACTAATATAAAACATGTATATCGACTTATTCATTTCAATCCTAGATTTCGCGTATTTCGTTTATTACTAATTGCGTAATAATGCAATGCATTGTATTACTGTTATATTTAAGTCGCGTTTACTATGAACACGTTACAACGTTAAAATATACATAGCCTGTGCATGTACTAGTTCTTACTTATTACGGAGTTGCTATAGTTATTTATTATAAGATATCATATTTACTTCCATAAGATGGTCAGAGAGAGAATGGCCACCATCGTAATGCATGTTTAAGCGTATATGACATACCTTAAACATGCCTAACGTTTTTTGTGACATTGGGCATATGGATATAAGTGTAACTTACAAGTGGTCAACAATAAGAAGCACAGTTTAACAAATAACTTCCTTCTACATCCTGCCATGAAAACTTACTCTATGACCAACGCGCTGCCCAGCGACCTATCAGCGAATGAAGTTCTTCTTTAGTCTGTAAAGGATACAGTTTAATTTTACGCTATACTACAACAGAAGCTGTCAAAAGAAATAAGATTTAAATAGATAAGAAACAATATCTAAATAAATCTTGAGTAAAGATTATATTTTACGTACCTTGGTACATATTCATCAGAATCAAAAATATATTTATATAAAATGTTTCTCTCTTGTATTTCTTAGTTGGTCAATATTAATGTAATAATAAACAAAAAAGTTATACGCACAAAAAATTATGAAAGAATGGAATAAAATGGAAAGATGATTATTTTGTTATAAGATTGCAAATTACCTTTAAGCAAAACAGGTGATGGAAATAATATATCTTGTTCTGAAAAATTATCCTAAATCATCTTCTTTCGTAAGTAGCTCGCTGTGCATCCAATGGAAATACATTTTGGTATTGACTATGGATGACTTTTAGTAAGCTGGGGCTTGAAAGTCACCCATACCCCGCTGTTGTTGTTGACCAAACGGCGGTTCTTGGTAAGCAGTGTCAGTAGCATCAGGATAACTTGTATATCCTGTACCACCAACAGGATCTGCTTCGTAACTCGGAGCAAATGCTGCATCAGTACCTTGTTTAAATCTTTGAAATGCGAACCAAGCACAAGCAGCCTGTAACAACAAGTTGTAGATATAATTCTCAGACAACTTTGTAGAAGTTTGATTATTGCATATATGCGACATTCTATACATAGATATTAATAATTCAACAGAAAATATTCACATATTCGCCGAGTAAACTTGATCCAACATACCCAAGTGAAGATGGAGAAAAATGAGAATGCAATAGCCGCCTGTAAATTATTCACACCGTATCCATCCTTTGGTCTTGGAGAATTGTTCCATGCATTTGTCAAATAACAGAATCCCACAAAATACAGGAAAGACCAGAAGCCCGAAAAACTATAATGACAATATTAATAATATTAATATAATGTAGAAGATATTTCAATTATCCAAGTGTTTTAAAAGAGAAGAGAAACCAAAATCTTGTTTTTTTATTATACAATTATAATTCTATAATACCTAGACTATAAAGATACGCATAGCTTACCCCAAATCTATAAGAACAAAATGTTTTCTAGTCTTGACAGACGACATTTGTTCAAACAGGTATTCACCCGCGAGAAATCCGATACTGGCCAAAAATGCCAGTACTCCAATGCCAACCCCATAATTGCATGCGTTATTGTCGTCATTGTAAAGACAAACTTCCTTCCCATCGTCTTTTGGAAGATAGCCCTTGCTGCTTATGCATCCAAAGACAATTATTGCAAAAAGCTGAAAGCATGATAAAAATACTTTTATGTATAGGACGATCCAAGTGGAAATTTGGAAAAACAAAACATACATTGCGATATATAACATATGTATAAGCTATTTGCAAATTAAGAGCATAAATGGTTGAACAATGATAGTACGTAATAGAGAAGATAAGAAAAAAGCAAATAGTAATGTATATACTCATTGACCAAAATGTCCAAAATCTATAAAGATTTATTTAAAAAATATAAAATAAAATAAGATAAATATCCATATAAGTCAGAAGATTCATTTTATGCATAATTCATGAAATGTCTTATATATCAGGCTTGTTGTACTCGAACTTTCTATATTCTTCGCATATTTAATCACAATTCCTCTACATATCAAGCCTATATTACGTCTTAACGAAATAAGTATTTTCACATTGAGAAAGAGAGAGAGAGAGAGACAAAGAAAGGCGGAAAGACAAGTTCGGGAGGGGATTAACAAATAATGCTGTCAAGAGGGCAAAACGGAGGGAGGGACCCGTGCATTTCATTAAAGATATCTGGCCAGCGAGAAAAAGTAAAAGAGGCGCGAAAAATTCGATCCGTCGAATCGACTAGCAATAGATCCCATTCAAAGGTCGAACGCCATAGAGACCCCATGACATACGGGAGACGTATCGCTGGAATTCGCGAAAAATCAATAGAACCCCATCGCGGTTGCGGGAGTGGGGGGAGAAGGAGGACCGAGGACTCTCTTTTAAAATCAATGACCATCCGCGTCGAGGTATCCAGCTCCCTCGGTATCGCGATCGTCGTCGCGATCACGCTTGGCGATGGATCTCGTTGACGGGACGACTTACCAGGCATACCGCTCTCAGAATGACCTGCGGCCTCTGAACGTATGCGATAGGATCGAAAGGGGCCCCGGCCTTTCCGCCGCCGTACGCTCCGCCGTCCATCTTAGCGCGACTGAAGCGAAGATTTCAAAGCTCACGCAGCGGTCGAGCGCGCATGCGCAGTCGCCTCGGCGGCGACCGGGGGTAGATATACGTACGAGACGAAACGATTAGAGGCGCAGGTGGATATATCGTATCATATCTAAATTCCATGAGACACCCCTTGAGATTTACCCTATGCGCCCTTTGCGATCTTTCTTATCGTGATTGTGAGATTTACCCATCTCCTTCGATAAATTATAATACGGATAAGAGAAAAGCAAATATGCCTCGAGTAGTTAAAATGTACCATATAAATCTAGAATCCATAAAGAACAATACATGAAATACAATTTAAAATAAATAAATAAATATAAATATAAATATATGTAAAGTTTATAATATCAATTTTCAACAGAATTCTTGTATTATCTCCTATGTTTTCTTCAATTTCCTCCATTGCGCTATGTGTGCATACCCTTTGACTTTCCCACCCTTTTCGACCGAGTTTACACGCCTTAAACAAACGGACTGATAAACGTTAATTAGAGTTAATTTTAAAGATAGACAATTTGTTACTCTGCTTAATTATCTCAATTAATTTATGAAGTATATATTGATTAAAGCATATATGTCTTTTCTGAATAATATTGAACTTTATAGAAGAATTTGGATATATTGTAGAATGATATTAGATCAAATTACTTTGATCCAATGATATTAAGTTAAAGCCTGTTATTAAAAATATTTATCTTATATATTTCCAAAAAAGAATTTTCTTAGAAAAATAGCAACTTACAATCTATATAATAACATAGTTATACATAATAATATATTTTGTGCTATAAAACTATTAAACTTTTAAACCTATTAAAACTATTAAACTTTTAAACCTATAAAACTATTAAACCTATAAAACTTTTATTTCGAAAATCTGTTGAATAATATATATGTTGCAATGCATAATCCACCGATTGGAATGCAATATGATACATAAGAATACTTTCCGCTTTTTCTAGGCTGTAAAAAATAAAATTAAATTTAGTTATATGTTTAGGTTTCCTTAAATTATTATTATAAAACATTTAATTAATTTTATATTAATTCAACAGAAGTATATAGATATAGTAGAAATTTATATTAATGTATATATACCATAATTATCACAGCTTCCAGTTCTTTTAATTTTAATTCAGTTTCATTAACTTCCTTAAGAATAGAATCAGCGGCAAGGCATAGAACTGTGGAAGCACTTAAGGCTATGTCAGGTTCAATAAAAGAATTGATTCTTTTTTTTTGTAATTTAATTCTGCAGTATGTTATAAAAGCTTGAATTATATCAAGCTGTTTCTTTCCTATTTTCAATATTTCTATTTTATCAGACATCCTGTAAAAAACTTATTATTAGATTTAATACTATATTATAGGTAGAATACGAGCTTCTCTCAATAATAATTTAGTACCTTTGATGAGGCTTTAACTTCATACTTGGAATCTTTTCCTTTGAAATATATAGAGCATGGAACATGTTTTCTGCAAGATGTTCATCAGCACCTAGAAAAACAAATCATTATTAATATCATGCTAATATATACATCTTTATATATATATATATATGTTTTTAAAATTTTAATTATTGTTTATGTTAAAGAAGGTAATAATTCTTTAGTATCTAACTAAAAGAAGTATAGAATTGCATGGAAATTATATTGTAAAACAATAATCATTTATTTTGCATTATATTAAATTTTGTAATATGTAAATTTTAACAATTTTCTTTTTACTGAGTTTTAATAGAAGTGTCGTGTATGATGTGTGTTAATCACAAGAATTTAAATCTCTATAAATAAACGTACACTAGCATAAAACATTGATATAATTGTCAAAGTAAACATATTACCAAGTTGCATGAAATCCTCCTTGGTTAATTTATGCAAGACATCAGTAGATATATCTTTTCTCTTGAATTCCTTTATTAAATCGTATCCTCCTAAACCGCGTAATAATGCTTCGGTTTGCTTGTTAAATCCAAGAGAATTATATTTCATGTCCATGGTGAAAAGTGACAAGTTTTCATTCAAAAAATTATCAACAGAAAATTTCGACGACTTCTTAGCTCTTCACTCAGATAGATTATACAAATATTACATTAGCGACAAAATTCCTCAGTTTAGATAAAAGAAGGACAATCAGGACAATTCTACAATCAATTTCGATGTAATTGTTTTCGTATACAGGAGGGAAAAGGGACCTTGAGCGGTCGAAAAGCGCGAGAGGAGAATCAATCAATTTAGGGGGAAAAACAGCTGACTTGAAATAGAGGAGAGAATTTAGAATAGAGATTCTTAGAATAGAGGAGATCAATATGTGAGACGCGCGCTATCTGTCAAGTGCACGTCTCCCGTCTTCTGACAGTTCTGTCGTATTATTTTCCCCCTTCGAAGAATATGACGATATGACCACCTTGATACTCGGCATCGGCGTAGGATTATTCATTATCCTCAGTCTGTGGGTGGTGGCCGCGTTAATATTCGTGATATCGTTGCGGGTCGAGAAGAAGGTCGGCGCGATCGCTGTACTGATTGTGAGCGCGATTACGATTATTTTGATTAGCGTGCCACGCGCGTCAGAGAAACCCGCGCCCACGGAGAATAAGGTACAATCGCAGAAATATATTTATACAATATCGATTGCGTGTCTTTAAACATCCTGTTGCGTGGTCGGATGACATCAGTGTTCGAAGAGAGCTAACCCGTCTTCAATATATCAAAAGAAAGGGGAAGAGAAAGAGAAAGAGCACCTCTAGTACAAATTATTACAATCGTCGTATTAATCGCTCTTTATTTATATTGGAAAAAAAAATTGTGTTGCGGGAACTTTTAAATTATATTTTCACGGGATTGTATTATTGAAAAAATGGAATATATATAAAATTAGAAAGTAATTATTATATATATATATATATAGATATGTAAAAATAATACAACGTCGAATACAGTCATTTATATTGTGGGAATTATATAATTGAACAAAATCATAAGACTAAATAAATCTTTGTTTTGTAGGTGTATGATCGACTTTTCATTTGGCGTATAACGCTTCTGATTTTATTATCTATCTCATCTGCAATTTCCCTCATTGGATATATTAAATTTGGATTGGTGGAAACTGTTAGACCAGTTAGGATATCCAGTTGGGTTTTTTAGACCCTTTGGTATGTTTTAAATTAATAATATAAGGAAATGTATGTTAATATTATGATAGAATTGAAACTTATAATGATTATATATTGTGATAAAAAAGATTTATCTGGATACTGCACTATTGTATATAACTAATGATAACAATCTTCTTTTTTTTATAGATATTCTTGCTTGCTGACAAATATGATGATCTTCAATATGTGCAAGATTTAATATATAAATGTAATGTTCATCTGTTTACATAGCTATTAATCTTTTATTTATATTACAAGTAACGCGTTTAAAAGAAAGAAACAATGTTGTGCAGTATAAGAAATTGCATGCCATTTGCGGTGAGACGTATTTCATTATTTCGCCAAAATAATAAGCATTACGAGATAAGCAATAACAACGATTTTGTGAATAAGGTAATGAATGGCACAGTGCCAGTTATAGTCAATTTTCACGCAGATTGGTGTGACCCATGCAAAATATTGACACCCAAATTAATAGAACTTATAAAACCTATGGACAAATTAGATCTAGCTATAATCGACGTAGAAGAAAATCCTGAATTGGTGCACGTTTTTGAAGTAAAAGCTGTACCTGCAGTAATAGCAATTTCAAATGGCTTAGTCGTAGACAAATTTATCGGTTTAGTCAATAACGAGATGATAGAGAATTTAATACAAAAGCTAATACACGAAGGACCAATAAATACTACGGATAACGAGAATACTAAGTCCTAATCATGATAACATCGTAAATTATGTAATACACATTTTATGCTTCCATTTACTCTATCACTTGTGAATGTATTTTCATATAGAAAATATGTAATATCTCAAGCTATTTCGTCCGAGACTTACGGCCTTTCTTAATCTATATCAGATAAGCGTGCATTATATAACTTAAAGATTTTAGATGTATATTTATGTTGTAAAATAGAATATATAATGATAATCCTCATTATATAATATATAACACACGAAGCTAATATATACATATATATATTAATACATAAATCTTTTCAGGTTGTATTGCAATATTTGTATTCTTCTATATAGAAACATATACTCTAATACAGAGCTTGCTCAGCAGCCTATATTCTTGAATCGACCAAAAAGATATTAGAAAATAGCGATTTGTTCTTGAGATATTGAAAAAAATTCAACAGAATCTTATATTATACAAATCATAATATTATAGAAAGAGTATTAGAAGCTATTGTAGAACTCGTAAACTTGTCCAAGCACTTGTGATATACATCTTTTTAGACACGACTTTTCAATATATTCTTGAAATAGTTATTCATTCACTCAATATTTATATATGGCATGTAATAAAAAACACTTTACGAGTCAATTCAATAACAAATTATGTGCGATGATAATAAATTTGCAATGTGATTTGAATTGCATTATTATGAACAGATAAATATTTGACAAATATTTTTTAAATATGCTTTATATGTATATATACACATATCTATATATTTTTTTCTTGATAGATTAATTCTATTTAAAAAAATATTTTCGGTATCTCTCTAATTTATACAAATAATTTAAATTGTACAAAGTGTATATAAATTAATTGCAGACAGTTAATAAAGAGATGATAAGAAAATAATTACTTTAATAACGGCTATTGGATGTAAGTCGCGATGTGTATCTTCTGTGGCAGTGCAATCGAGATAAATCATCTAATCAGATTTCAGTTTCTCGTTTATTCTTGATTGTATAAGACCATTGTGTGTACAATCAGTGTATGAAAGTACTGTCCATTAAAGATATAGTAGGCCAGAGATATAATAAAGATTATTACACTTCACATAACTTCTCTCTCCCGCGTCTTTCGGCAGCAAGCGATACATAAATGTGTATGTTATACCAACAATTAAAAGACTAGCTATATAATCTTTTTCGTTATCAGTCAGGTGTTTTTTAAGACACCACGATAAGGCAATGCTGTGATTCTGTGGTCACTTGCAAAAAACTATTTTTTTCCCTTTATCTACGACCTACGATA